CGTCGATTTGCAACGTGGTACGAAGCAAATAAATCATACCAGTTTATGTAACCTACCGTATGTCCTTAAGACAATAATGTGATTAATTATTCGTCTTTGCGCTCATACAAATAAAATTATGCGAAATAACTTCACCAGAAACGTGTTGAATTAGTACGCCGCCATTGAAATGTGAAGTCGTGCATGGCCTATATCAGCGCTCCTACCGACAAAATCGTGCGAATTGGCTGGCAGAAACTTTTTGACGCTAAGAACAGGCCTGTGAAAAGGCCATGAGAATGTGGACAGGTTTTAGTGCATAGGGCAGCGATTCCCAACCGGAAATAAGCTAAAAAAAAAATTAATAATAGTGGATATACTATAAGAATATTCGGATTCTGCGCCGAGGCGTTTGGCGACATCACGGCACTCGATGCTTAGTTTTAAATAAAAATATAATTTTTTTTTGTATTATATTTATCCGTGTCCTCCTCCATAATTCTCAATTAAAAAATATTTTTTACATGTAATTGTATAGCACTGTATAATCGACCAAGGCTCCACTGTTTGACCAACACACGAAATAAAACTTAAGAAAATGGGCTGGCAATGGGTACGCAAGTCAAAAAAGGTTGGAAACCACCGGCATAGAGATTAATTAATTATTACAGCTTCCTCCCCTTTTCATATTACCTCACGATTTACCTTCACAATAGCCGCATGGTGTCGCTTCTGCTACAATTATTATTTTTTAACTTTCCATACTGACCACGTGACTTTCCTCCTCCTCAAAAAACAGCACTCGTGCTTGATGGGAAATCACTAGTTAATAACAGGTTAATCTGGGCCTCCGGCCCCTAAGCTTTCCATACCTTATCTCGATTTTAATCCATTTAACACCATTCTCGGGATCAGCGAAGGGCAGGTGGATGACAATGGGAATGTATAGGCCTGCAAATTGAAAATTGCGGCCCAGTAAGATTTGTGTGTACTTTTTGTTTCTAAATATTTTGTTCAATGTAATTCAGGGGACGACGACGAAAAACTAATAGTGTGTTATCTGAACATAATGAAATGCCAACAATTCAAGTTTTCAGTTTTCTTTAGATTACAGGGGCATTGAATTATCGAAAGACTTCTGGGCCATATTACACGGTTTTTCCACTTTTGGCGGCAGAAATAAGTGCAAATAAAACGAAATTTAATCTTTAATAAATTAAAATCTCAGAGATTTCTATAAGCTTTGAGTATATCGAGTCGTCACTAGAAAATGGCGAAGTTTCCTTACTTCTATTATAAACATAACCTCAATAAATGGGCATTGTTTTTATTTTATCGTGATTTATTTCACTATTAAATTAATAAAGTAATAAGTAGACAGGATTGGGTAGAGAATATGAAACACGGCAGAGATATTAAACGAAATTTTTCCACCGTTTCTGGGGGTCTCCAAACGTAGAGATTTGCAAAAAAAAAAAAAAAAAACCCGGAGCGTCAAATTTGACACCATTACAATACTTTGTGGTGTTACAACAGCCGGAAAGTACGAGTAATTCTTATTCAAGATCAATCAGTAAATTCTTACATTTTATTTTCGAATAAGTGCACATTACAATTGGTTTTATATGCGTAATTCCGAAACCATTTTCGTTGTAATGATTATTTTAGGGTCCGGAATTATAGCCACATTTTAAATTCAGGTAGTAATCGAACTCGCAAGTCCAACCGTCGCAACATTCCTTATCTTTTTTGCAAAATTGTCCAAACTTTTTTGTGCATCTAAAATACAAAAATAGATTCGGTAACAAACGAAATCAGAGACAAATGCAGGGTGACCCAAAAGTCGGTTACCCGAGATTAAAACTAGTTTGAAAAAACTATGGAAACCAATCGCGAATAAAGCCGCGGCAGCTATTTGGAAAAAAAGGTATCCAGTAGTCTTAGAAGGTTCTCCGTTAACTGACTTTTGGGTCAACTGTGTACCGAATAACACTACATCAACTGTCGTACATTATTATTATCGCCAATTTTTAGAGAGTTACACACGTACACGAGCGATAATTCTCTAATAATACAGAGAGGATTAATTGGGTGGAGTGGTAAAACCACCGAGCACTAGTAGTTGGTCGTGGGTTCGCGCCTATTCAACGGCCGGCCACGTGGTTTTCCGGGTTTTCTTCACGCTATTAACACCGAAATAGGGACCAGTCTCCCTTAGAAAGGACAAGTTTTAACTTATCTTACGCTAATTGATCCTAAGAACCTAATGTTGATCTCCTCTCCATACCAAAATGTATTTATATAATTATAAACTAACTACGGAACCATTTATATCTCCGAAAATCATTAATTAAATGTGATAATTTGCGTCTTTGAAACAAGATCATACGCCTACTTGGCAATATGTTTGGATTTTTTTTTTCATTCTACTCTGTAGCTACTAAGAGGGCCTTTCTTCAAGCCAAATGGGGTGGGTGACTGGTAAGAGACGGGGCCATCCTTTGAAAAATTTTTGGAATTTATCCACCACTAGGATTCGAACCCGGGTTCCCAAAGTGGTAGACTAACGCCTTAGCCACCTAGGGGGTATGTTTGGGTTTCTGGTACCTGGCGATATGTTCTTTTAAGATACTCGCGTGGCTAATATAACTCGGGATCGATTGTATGGAGGGAAGATATGATAGAAAATAGTTAATAGAGAAGGCCAAATTAATATTTTTTAAGCCCACCAGTTTGGCCGAGTGGACAAAACCATTGAACACTAGTCGCGGGTTTGCAGCTGGCCGGTCACGTAGTTTTCTGGGCTACGTTTATTACACCTAAATAGGGGTCAGTTTCCTAAGAAGGATTCTATCGCCCAGTTTTTTAACAATAAAGCGGCACATTTCCAAAAATAAATATACTCACCCTTCTGGGTCTTTTTCCCTACCTATAAAAAAATCACCATCAATTATGGCGAAAAAAGGGTATTATTTAATCAATTTCGAAAATCATACCATACCACGAATATAAAAGGCATTACTTATTGTTGCCACCATCAAAATCAATAAGAAAAGTTTCATGTCTGCTTCGCTCCAATTTTTAACGTAAAAATCCTATAAATATTGATTTGATGCAATAACGGCAGGAAATGATAATTTTTATTTTAATTAATTCTGTCGTAGATAATTTTAATTACCATAAACGGATGGAAACACTTTTTATGCGGCCATTAAAATTGAAAACAGATGCAAGTTTTGCTTTTAAATAATTTATTACTAATTGTAGCGGATGCAACGTTTCCGCTCGCCCCCTCGAACAGACGTCGCTAGTACGAATACCCAGCTGTGGAAACCTGGCAACCTCAGATTAACATAAGCCACTTTGTTTTGAGGAAAAATTTTTGCTCCTTTTCCTTGCCATGCCACAAGAGATTTTAATTTCTCCAGTACAAAAACTACGAACAATTATATAATTTGCGGCACCTTCCATCTTCTCTAGATCCGCCACTGCAATACGACTAAGTGCAGCCAGATCAACACGATAACAATTGTGGTTCTTCGTCCACTGTTAAAAATCGCAATCGCAATCGCAATCAAACTTCGATTTAACGCGGAATTTTGTTCGACACCAAATCGAGTGTGGCGTTCAACTGGAGCACCTCAAATACTAACGAAGAATTAGGTATTATGAGGCTTACGTACGAGTTCGAGAGAATAAAAGTTGGGTGATATAATGGCGTTCGCAATGCAAAATCGTACGTTTAGAGTAATTCGCAGATGCTGAAAGAATCTGATATTTAAGGCAAAGGCACATTTGGTATTATTGCAGTGGCAGATCGAGAGGAATTTAGAGCATGAGTAGAAATATTCAGAAGAGAACTTTGTTCCGTACGAATGTGGTAGCGAGCTGCCTGTTATAGTAAGGACGCTGTAAAATATATATAATTCTTCGTAGTTTTGTACTAGAGCAGTGGTTCCCAACCTTTTTTCATTAGTGTACCCCGTGACATGCCATATCTCTAGATTGTACCCCGTGACATGTCATATCTCTAGATTGTACCCCTCATTTAAGAAATTTAGTGAGTAACCGTATTGTTAAATTTAGATATTGTAACTTTAAATTAAAGAAAAAAAACTAAAAGAAAAAATGTATAATAAAGTTGTGATACATAATATATTATTTTTTCTGCCATAATAACGAACTTTTTTCTGTACCCCTAAACAACCTATCGCGTACCCCTAGGGGTACGCGTACCACAGGTTGGGAATCGCTGTACTAGAGAGATTAAAATTGCGTGTGCCATGCCAGGTTTCCACATCTGGGTGCTCTGACTAGTGACCATGACGGCTCGAGCCAAGCGGGCGAAAATTTTGCCTCCTAGAGAATGCGGGACGGATTTCATCTCGTACGACTCGTCCTCTCCACACACCCACCCCACTAATGTGCACATACACAGTACATAACTTGTATAGAAAGCAGTTTTTCCCCCTCCGCCTGAGTACGCGCTTACCTATAGTGACATCTAATTACCTTGTACTTTAGCCATCTCCGTAGCTGGGCTCTGATAGGAATTAAAGCGCTGCCCACATGTATGTGTGTTTTCGCTTTCATCACAAGCTTAGGTGTAAAAATAAACCAGCTTGTAGCCCCCCAGTCATTTATCTCTAGCTAGGGAGCCTATTCCTATTCGGTAAAAATAAAAGTATGGCTGTGAAATTTATTAAATTCGTTAAGCCGCAAAGTAATTAATAGTTTCATTTTAAAATCGCACCGGCCACTATTACAAGAAACGAAAATGCAAATTGATTGCCGTTTATTGCTACATTTCTAATTAAATATGGCGAGTGTCGACGATGTTTACATCTCTCAACACGCAGATTTCGATAATGTAATTATTTGAATACAATTTGACGAAACCATCTGCAACAAGCGGCAGTTGTCGAGTAATGGCATTCCTCGACTCCTATAAATTTTAATGCACGCATGCACAAAAGCAAAATTTATAAACATTTAATACCGAATAACGTCACTAAAGCTGAAAATAATCAGATCGCGAGCAACGTTTCGTTTAAGCAGTAAAGCTCAGTTTCGTCATCTCCCAAATAATACTAAAATCCTCGAAGCATGCTCGCTTATGCAGCAATTTTAATATTGCTGACAGCTTCGGTCAGCGGAGAATCATGTAAGTTGCCCCTTTTCCACCCAGTTTTCGGTCGATTAATAATCGATTAATCAATCGATTTTCTCGCGCCAGTTCCTTACAGACCGGCCGCGCATTTGAGAAACTGCACGGAAAAATTCGGCATCGACGACTGCAGAGCGGGTTGTATCGGCTTGAAGTACAAGTGGGGGACTTGTATCATGTATCCCAAAGGAGACGGATTGTGGCATCCTCTATGCTCTTGTTTTACAAAAACAATGGGAAAGCTGGAGATAGATAACGATTACGGTGAGTAAAAAAGCTGTTAAATAATGTAAAAAAATGAATGAAAATTATTAAGTTACTCTACTTCGTTACAGACGACTTACTGGAATAATTCTACGTTGTTCCATTACCAGCAGTTTTTTTTTAAAAAAAATCGATCTTTAGATAAATTAGTAACAACCTTGATGTGTATCTTATCGCTAGTATACATTAGAAAATCACTATCAATTAATTTCAGTTAATAATAAACAAATTCGACATTGATGTTTTTGTTACGCAATCTCTTAAATTTATTGTACTTTTAAATGTTTTTTTTTTTTTTACCTCCCTTCGGAGGTTTATTTTTTTGATATTACACAACGATTGTCGGGATCAAATCCACAAGAGAGTTGTAGAAAGCAGGACTCTTCCATTCATTTTTACATACGAATCCGTCAAAATTCTGCAAAAGAAAATCCTAATTACTAAGAAAAAACAGCAGCAATTTTGCCGTTTAAGTGCGAAGAACAATGGGCATCCACAGCGAGGGGTCCATGGAATCGAGTCCACGAATCATAATCGTAAAAGTTAATTGAGATGATTTGATGCAATGCCGCTTCCCCCCCGGGAAATTTTCTGCCGACGCCCATGCGAAGAACCACTATTACGTTACGTAAAAACGAACTTACCGAAGCTGTAATCTACGTCCAGTTCGTGGAAGGACGTAGAGAAGCAGGAGCATACGGGAAACCAAAACACAGCAGCATCTGGTAGATCTATGCAAGCACCCCATGCAAAATTTAAACTGACGCAGTCGACTTTGCACTGCTCGCTGCTGTAATCGTCGGTGCAGTTTCTCAAGTAGGCCGACGGCCTGTAAGGAACTGTGAACGTGAAAACGTCAAATTGCGATTCCGTTAATTCCACCCGCCATTAAGTAAAAAAAAAAAATAATAATAAAAGCGCGAAACTCACACGATTCCGTTCCGGCATGCCGAATAGTGAACAGAAACAACGCATAAATCGCCCACGACATACTGAATTTTTTCGACGATTCCTTTTTAATGAAATCCGGTTAATAGAAAATGTAGTAATAAAACCATTAATTTAAATTAAAAGTCTCCGAAAACCATTTAATTTTTTTTTATGACTGCAGCAGATTTAAATATAAATCTGATTTAATTATCAAATTACATCTAGCTTGTACACAAATATTAATCGTTTTTTTTTTAAAAAACAAAAAGACAAGACAAAACTCACATAATTAAGTAGCACGAATGTTTAATTATCATCATCATTATTATTATTTTTTCTCATTGCACAATGACAGAGGCTCACATTAACCTTGTGTATACAAAACAACCCTCGATAGGGGTGAAAGCAATATCATAGGATTATTTGATATTTTTGTCCCTACGACATTTCATATGATCAGTACATCCACATAACATCACTAATTACAATCAGTATGAGGTAATAATATCAACGAGAACTGCGGTTCCCCCCCTCGGGCAGTCTAAGTCCTCATCAAAAAAGAACTCGACGGAGCTCAGACTCAGCATCGATCATATTAACTACAAAAGATGTTTATGAAAAACATTTTATATATATATATATTTTTTTTATTATTATTATTTTTACATATAATAAACTGAATCTGGCTCTGCAGTTCGCAACACATGGATTTCAAAATAATAATAATAATATTGACCAGAACGTAAACCCTAGTCTGGAGGGTTGGATAAAGTATAATATACATTGTTTACTCCTCCGGCGTACTATAAAATGATATTAATAAATTAAAATGTACAGTATACAAGGAATTCTTCTTCTCTTCCCTAACACGAAAAAAAGGAAGACTTAAATTAACATACGATTTCCTCATACACTTTTATTTTTTTCTCTCCCCCTCCTACAACGTGCATGGCCTTGTTCCGGTTTTAAAAACTAATTCCCTACAGCTTAGCCGGAAAATCGAAATTAATAAGGGGGAAAGAAATTTGATATGCTGGCATTTTTTGGCAAAAAACAATAAAACAAATCGTGTGTTGTGTGTGTATGTACGATGCTATTATGACTGAAAAAATGGCTCCAAGTAAACCGATCTAGCCTAGAGATTTAGGTAAACACAAAGAAATTTCGATAAAATTTTTTTTTCCTTTTTCCCTTTTTTTTTTATACAAATAGCAAAAGACCAGTATGACAAGAATATACACTTTTGACATCAACAATTATACTGTACAATTCTTTATACGGGATTTTATCAAATCAAAAAACGTCTCTCTTACATTCCTGTTTTTACTGTATTCAAATTTAACACTCGTCTGCGTGTATGTATGCGTATATATATCCCTTTAAAATAAATATGGGAAGGAGTAATATACAAGACATATTACCGGCATTAACCTAAAATACACCGAAAAAATGTGCGTTAACGATGCGTTAATCAATGCTAAACTCGTATACACACTTACACACAGTCGAAATTAAATTATAATTATTGAAAATTCCACGTCAGATACAACAAACCAGAGCTATCCGTCCGAAAAAACACAACTGAAATATTTAAAAAAATTAATAATAATAATAATAGTTCTTACCGTGTATAACTTCTCTTCCTATAATTAATTTAAACTGGAAAATTTGGCATGCAAAATGGCACATGAAAATAAAGAAAGAGTATATATATACATATACATATTTATTTAAAATTGATCTAGAGTTATACGACATGCAAATTAAAGAGTTAATGTTCTAAATTGTTGGCTACTTTAAGCAGGCTAATTCATTCTTTTCTAATTTCCACAGTAACCAAACTGGAAAGGTCTATTTATTTTTCTTCTTCACCAGAATGTCAAATCAAGCATCCAGAATTTATTATTATTAATATATCTTAAAAAATGTTTATAGAACAACAGACTTATATGAGTATTATTGTTTTTTTTTGAAAAAATTTGGCTCCAAAAGCTAAAGTTTTTACAATTTATTCCCTATAATATTTTGCTAATAATAGATAGCTTATTCATTAAAAAATTTTTGAAATAGATTCTAGTTTACAACTATATCCATACATTATTATTATTATTTAGTTTAAGTTAATTATTATTTACAAGATTACTAATTATTGATATGTTGTTGTTATTTTGTCTTTCTTTATTCTTAACATTTTTTTTTGATTTAACTAGTTCTAAAATTAATTTAAGAATCGAAAATCATTCCTATATTAATTAGAAATCATAAATGTTCGATAGTTTCCATTTAATGTACAGTAGTGCAGGGTTTGAATACATTTGGTCTTTGTTAAGGTGAAATCAAGAGCAGTTTGCTTTTGAGCTTGCAATGAATTTCTCTCAAGAAATCAAATTAATAAATTCTATCCTCGAGGTGGATGCAATTTGCACCCATTTACCAGGTGCTCCACGACAATTGGCACAAGGTACGTGTCATAGGGTCTTTACAAAATTTTGATTTCACGTTATCAAGAACCAAATTTTTTTTTTTTTAAATATAAATAAGCCGGGAGAAATGTCCAGTTTGGTATAACTGTATTTATAAAACAGGCAAAATAGAGAATGTAACAGAAAGAAAATGTTAACAAATTTCCATGCAGATTACAAGAAAAATGGATTCTCAAAATACAATAATCATAGAATTTAGTAGTAGTTTATAAGATGGATTAACTGAAATAATAAATAGGATTTATCGGTTAAAATTACATCTATAATATGGTACAATACAGTTAATAGTAATGCAAATTATTCAAGCTGAAGATCCTACAAAAGAATTATTTCTCATAAGATTGAAAATATTAAAGATACTGTACTACTGTTAAAGAACTGAAACTGAAACGAATCATTTCTGCATTTGAAGTTCAAAAATTGACTGAAAATCCTGTTTATAAATCCTTTACATATAATATTAAATAATGAAGTTATGTTCAATATTCAGCTTTAGCAGTTTCCCAAAATCTGCACTTGTCTAGAAAAGTACACTGCCAATTACATATAGTAATAAAGATGATTTTTATTAATTATACTTATGAACTTGTCTGTAATAATTTGATTTAAATTTATTATTTATTTACTTGTTTCAAGGATTTCTAAGTTAATTTCCTGACAATTTTCCTCCTCCTCCAAAAATCAATTCTTACAATTCTATAACATTCCTAATAACTAGAGATTAACTATTATTTCTGCTACTTTAAGAAAATAAAAATTCAAAAAAGTAAATATATATCTTTTTTTTTTTCTTATGAAACTAGCACTTATTCTATGTAAAATATGAGCAAATATATACATATTTTTTTGCTATCTTTCTTTTAACAAAGCCCGTCAGAATAATTTTGTAAAAAAACTTTGCTTTGCTTCATTTTGTTTTCGCGTAAAATAAACACTGGATCTTTTCTTTCAAGTAATCTAATTTTGAGAAAGAGGGGATTGATTTGCAAAATTCAAACACTGCATACAACAGGAAACTAATTTGGAGAAAATTTGGGGATTTTATTGCACAGAACTGTCTATCGAGTCCTCAAATAACAAAATTTAAACTACAAAACTTTTTTAATAGAGAATAAATACTTCAAACTGTTGATATTTACTCGAAACATAAATCTTTGGATGGAAAATTTAATGTAACGAGAAAGAAATTTTTCACCCTGCGCATGCAATTCAACATAAAAGCACATTCAACGCTCATACTAATAAATACTAACAATTACACCAACAGAACAGTATTTTCTCAAGTTCAAATCATGTATATCATCTTAAAGCTTCTCATAAAACATTCTAAAAGTCAAAACATTGAATTCTCCAAAAACCCATAGAAATAAATGGCAATGTTTGTAAGTCACATGTATTTTATCATAATATATTTTCAAATACAGAATATTCTTAGAGTCAACTAACTATAGTAACAGAATCCAAAACAAATTAATGTCTATATTAAATTTAACACACTTATGTTTGACAAAGAATATATTAAACTAATTACTTTATTCATTCGTTTAACATTAAAGTTATTAATCAAACTGTTTTAGATTTGTTGCTATAGTTAGGGCATTCTTACAAGCATTAGTCTATGTAAAATGCATATCTGAAGATGGAGCATACTTCAAATGAATATAAAATATTACATGTTTCAAGTTATTTATTTCTATGTTAATCTAAGAGAGTTAATGATGATATTTTTCCCTATCTTAAAACTTGTCTTTACTTTATTAAACTAAATATTTAAATAATTGATAAAAACTTAATTGTAAATCCTGCATACTGACAACTATGCATGTGCATAAATGCACTTGAAATTACAATTCACTCAAGCATTTTCCGTATTATGTCACTTAGTAACAATTGGTCTTCAAAGTCTACTACGCCGAATACATGCATCAAAGTATCATTAAATCTTCATAGAATAGGCATTAGAATATATTCTAGCATGTAGGATATGATCATAATATATTAAATGCATTTTTTTTTAATTATACATTTTTTTTAATATGAAAAATCAAAATCTCAAACAAACATTATTATTTAAATAATTTAAAGATTCAAAAACAAAGATTCTTGCCACAGTATTTTTAAATAGTGTAAATTTTAAATGAAGAAAAAATGTAGCAAATGTTACATATATACATACATACATTTTTTGAACTATCGTCATTCATTTGTCTGTGCATTTTACGCAGAGTACACGCGAAAAGACTATAATTCATTTAAAATTACGGCATTAAATGTACCGTGAGAAGATTCTTGTTTTATTAACTCGTAAAAAATAATAATGTTTGCTTTTTAAAACATTCCTTTTATTTTCATCAATGACCAAAGCATTAACACATTACCATTTTGACCGTTCGGTCATGCCATAGAGAGAACTTTTTTGATTATACAAGCAAAGTCAACTTCAAATTCAAACTGTTATTAAATAAAAAATTAGATTAATCATAAACTTTCAAGTAAATTCACATTCACTATATACATCAACAAATAAATTAACATAAAACATTATTACAAAATTTTTACAACAATTAAAAACTCTGTCGTCTTCGTTTATCCTTTTTAAAAAATACATCTGCGTGTCTCTCCATTAGATTCACAAATTAAATAATATATCCATTACTCATAAATAATTGCAGTTTACTACAGAATCTATTAAATTAAAAACAATGTAGAAGGAGGAATGATATGTTTAATCAATTGGCACGTAAAATAATTCATCCGTTTTTGCATCATTCTTTTTCATTTTGTCCTCATTTTAATTATGCCAATGTATGGATAAGATTTACAATCAATATACTCGATATACAATTTTCTCAAAAATGTTTAGTACCTTTCTTTTATAAATTTTAATCGTTGCTTTTTAAACTGTCCCAAAAAAGTTACCAAGATAGATGAAATGCAAAAAGTCAAATCTTAAACTACAAAATGAAATTTCCTTCAAATATGGGAACAAAGAATTCAGAGATCATTGAACAAAATAGTATTTAGATAAAAACTTTCTGAATGCATGATTTAACTTCTGATCCAAATCTTTAGAAGGAAGCAAAATTAATAATGGATGGGTATAAAAACTTCCCACCAAATAGCTTTGAATAGATTTAAATTTTGACTTGTTCCATTTTAAACTATCACAATCGGTCTTGTTTGAATTTACTCAAATTCAAACCTTTTCTTTAAATAAACAGGCTCTAAAATAAATTTCCAGTAAAGTGACTACAGAATCGATTGCCATTATTTTTTTTTGTTTTTCATTTTTTTTCTGTTTTTTTTTTTTGGCAAAAAGTCGTAACACGGAAGCAATTTATATCATCTACTCTACAGTACTGTAAGAGGAACATGTAAAAGGAGGCACCAAGGTAGTTCGACTGCAGAAGTGCAGAGTGGGTCGCTCATCTGTCCCTGCACACGTCTTGCATAAATCACTAGAACATATATAAAGAATGCTTACGCTATATGTCGGTTTCGTAATCGCCATTTTCTTCTCCGATGCGGTCACACATAGCACCTTTACTTGTTTCAGTTACCCACATTTTGTATAGCGTAACTAGTAAATTTTTCTTATTCGTTCAAAATAAACAGTGATAAAGGATTCACAACTACTCCTATTACTTTATTATTATTAAATTTTTTTTGAATGAAAATAGTACGGAGCAGCTCTCGATTATAATATGATGCTATATTCCAAGATCATTCTATTCATTCGGTTTAAAACATCATAGCAGCAAATATTGTGGAAATCAGAAAAGACTACCCACAGCATCTAAAAAGCTAATTCTAGCAAAAATACTGATGACTTCAAATTACATTGCAAAAACCTGAATTTTTTTAATCTTTTCTCTAGAGCACACATATTTAATCATGACTAGAGAGGTATTACAGACTGATATTGCAGATGAGTTAAAGCTAAAACTCAGCCTACAGCATATAAGAAGAAATAAATACCAATTTTTTTTTTTTAATTAGCAGTTCAACGTAGATGATTTCTTCCTTACTGAGCTGGAAAACCAATTGCTCGACTCAGTTTAGTTTCTTTTCAAGATGAGGTCAATTTCTCTTTTTGTTTTTTTTTCTTTACAAGTTACTTTTTCCCTCACTGTGTAATTATTTGTATAAAAGAGAACGTTCCTGAGCCAGTAAATTAATAATAAACATGAGGCAACATTTCTACAGTTCAGAAATACCGTGGTCCACATTAATGTTGCAAAAAATTAATCTATTCCAGTTTTTTCTTTTCAAATATACACTGGAGTATCTTGACCAGTTAGTAGCCGAAACATTGATGTGGGCATTGTTTTCATGTGAATCTAAAAAATCATGCAATTTATTAAAATCTTGAAAGATTTTTGACCATTACTGATTATCAAATGTTAAGAGTGAGATTGAAAAGTAATAAGACTTGTGAATAATTTAAAAATATCTAAAATGAGAAAAGTCTCTCTTACCTCGCCAATAGACGTTGCAAGTAAATGAACGATTTTTTCATGTGGTACAGCAACAACACTCTGCCCATTAATTTCAATTATTCTGTGACCTACACGTACACCACCCCTTTCTGCTATACCTCCACGAAGTAAACTACATATCTGAGTACAAACAATAATTATATTAACAGATTAAATGTTAACATACATATTCTATTTTTATTCTAAATCAATGTTTATTTTAATAGGTATTTTATTAATCACACAATAAGAAAAAATTCAAGGAAAAATAAAATTCTCCTCAGGTATTTTAATCTTTAATAAATAAAATTACTCAAAGTGCTGGTGTTAAAATAACACCCAAAACATGATTGTAAGTAGTTGAAGTCCAATTGTTATTTTATGTTTAGTTAAAGTTATTTTCTTTTTGGTCATTTTTTAAAACAAACACCTAAGAAATCCCCAAAAATAAAAATGTACTAATTTACATTAGTGACTGATTCTGTGATGCTCAGACATGTCAATAGGACAATGCAGAGTTACACTGATAGACAGATAAAAGATGACACATCTGTTCAACAGTGTGGAACCTTCAATAAGCGATCAGCTCGTAAGAAGCATATTCTTTGTTTAATTATTATATGAAAAAGAATTTTTTTTTTTGGAATATTTGAAATACTCTATATACTTATATAACAACAATGATTATAACAAGAATTAGTAATATTAGATTATATATAAACAATACTGTTCAAAGTAAAAAATCCACAATAATACGAGTGTGATTCAAAAAGTAAGGTAACAAGATCTCTCATGGGTGTCATATTCCTCCTCCTCCCTCCTCTTGTTCATATTTCCCATTAGAGCAGCAGCAGAAAACCACAGCTTTATCACACAGGCCCTTGCAATAACATTTTGAAAATGGCTACACTTACAGAAACATGGTCAAACATGTAAGTGTGTAGTGTGATTTGGTTTGAAGGGCAACTCACTAGTAGAAATTCATCGTCAATTTGTTGAGGTGTACAGTTGTAATGTCATGTCACAAAAACAGCTTGGTGCACTGAGTTTGATAAAGGCAGGACAGACGTGCAAACTGAATTGTTGCGGTGATGTACTAGAACATCCCCCCCTATAGCCCCAACCTGGCACCCTGTGATTTCCACCTCTTCAGATCATTGAAGAAGCATCTGGGTGGTAGGCGATTCCAAACTGATATTGAAGTTCAGCAAGCCGTCATGGCATGGCTGTAGGAACTTGACGCAGATTTCTACTCTGCTGGCATTGATGCTTGGAATAAATGTTTCGGCAAGCATGGTGACTATGTTGAAAAATAATATGTACAGTAATAATCTGCCTGTGAAATAAAATTTGTACAGGAGAGCTCTTGTTACCTTATTTTTTTGAATCACCCTCATATATAAGTGTTATTTTGGATCATTATATTTTGCTTCCTATTAAGTCCAGGCCAAGTACAGTACTTGATTTGAACCCTAAATTGCGTAATCCCGCCTTTTGTATCGCATGGTACGTTACATGATTTCATTAAGGTTATATAGCTGGTGACCATTTTCCATTTCAAGTGGACCTAATTGTCAAATGGAATACCTAGCACAGTGACAGATAGAAAACATCCCAATCCATGCTATCCACAATAAATTTTGGTGTCCAAACTGGATTCATACCCATAGCCTATTGATAGTGGGCCAACATTTTAATCCTTGAAAAGAATAAGAACAGAGAATATAATATGTAGATCTAGATATACCAAATATAGTGACTAATTTCTATTTTAATGTCATTTATAATTAATAATATTTAAAACTTCTGTTAAAAGCAACAGTGGTATTTTGAGAATAAAGCTTTCATTTTCCTTTATTAATATACTTACTGTTCAAATTTTTTTGATCCTTGGTAATTTTATTTAAAATATTTTGAGGTTATTAAATCTGTAAAATTGTATAAACAATGATGCAATCGGAACCAAATTACAGTGTGGTACAAAAAACATCGAAAGAAAAAGAAACAAACGTTTTCAAACCCCTTCTGCATCAGGTTCTTAACCATTCTTAACTCTTAAATAAGAATTAAGAATGGTTAAGAAACCTGATGCAGAAGGGGTTCGAAAACGTTTGTTTCTTTTTCTTTCGATGTTTTTTGTCATACACTGTAATTGGTTCCAACTGCATCATCATCATTAATTCAGTATGGTGAGTAGTTATTTACTCTTTAGCAATGTTTATACAATAGATTTTAGCCGGCAATTTAATAAGAGCAGTAAATTATATTTTAAAAATTTAGATTTAAAACTTATGATTTGATTTAGATTAAACATTGAATTGATCAAGTTAGTATTTTGCAGCAATAATTCCTTTTTAATCTTTTGTTTTGTGTATGAATTTTAAATTTATCTTAATTCTAATAATTACTTTTGTTAACTGATTCATATGACTCCATTTTCACTTATCCTGTTTAAGTAAAACAACTGTTATTTTAGGAGTGAGGATAAGATTTATTTTGGATCCATTAAATAGAAAATGTAGAACATGCCCCAATCTGTTCAGGCTAGACTGGGCATGTTATATCAAAACATATATAATAACTCATCAGGCTTTGAGATGTGTGACATAATAATCTAACAATTGCCTAAATATTCAGGCTATAATCAAATAATAAATACAAATAAATTTGGTACTAGAATTTATTATTTGATTATAGCTATATTATAGCCCAAATATTTAGGCAATTGTTGGATTATTCTGTCAAAACATTTCAAACCAACAAAATGTTAGACTGACATGCAAAGTCTGCATCACAAATAGCTGTTAACTAGCTGCATATTCCAACATTGCTTCAGCTTTTGAGGTTGAGTTGGGAGAGGGTGATAAAAAAAACAATGGTCATAATAACTAAAATATACATTTGTTGACCTCAGTATTTATAACAATGAAACTAGCTGTAGCAAATTTTTGTTTTTTTTGCAAAGTTAAACATGTTGGGATCTCACTCCCTGTTATCTTGTAGACTTAACTTTGTACATTTGCTACTTCATCATGCTTGAACCATTGCACCTTTCTCAAATCACTGTCTTCAGTGGCATCATCTAAAGGATAAGAGCTTTTAATTTGATATCAAAACTGTATTTTTAGCCCCAGCAGTTTACTCAAATTAAGTTGGACAAACAAACTCTCAATTAATATATAGGTTCTCTATGTTCAATTTAAAATTTAGTGGATCTGTAATTGGAATTTAAATAGATTAAACAAAGCCCAACTGTTTTAGGAGTCAGATTAACATTTTCACAGTGTTAAAGTTAAGGAATTAATTTTTTTATAATAATAATAATTATATTTTTGTATTGTTTCTAAAGTAATGCAATTATTAAGTAATACTTTCCTTGAATTTTGTTTAAATCTCTTAAAAACAAACATTATTAAATGCTTGAATCAGATTATTACTTACCACACCATTTTGAACACTAAATCCTAATTGATATTTTGTATCTGGTCGTTTTATTCTAACTTCCACTACTGGTGCACAAGGCACTACGGTCAGTTTTACAACTGTCTGATTCTTTGTATTCTATTTAAAGAAAATAAGAAGGAAAAAAAATCATCATCATCATGCTTAATCTGTAATAAAATTTCAAGTGTGTAAAATCAATTTATGAAGTTATTTAGAAGATAAAATTAGATTTAAAGAAATTTTATATTTCAAGAAGAAATTTTAGTAGAATCAAACTTAGTGTTACCTTAATATAATTCTGACATGTAGATAATGGCAAACCCACTAAACTAATTCCATTGATAGCTATGATTTGATCCCCAATATTTAATTGACCACAACGTGCACCTGGTCCATTGTGTGCCATGTTAGCAATGACTACAGTTGGCAGCATGGAACCCCATCCAGATTCTACAATCACCATTCCGAGAATTTCTCCCTTTTGCTTAGGTACGACCACCTAAATAGCAAATAATATTTAAGTGTTAATATTAGATTCCATTTTATAATTTAATTAAATCTATATTTTAGGAATAAAAAAGTTAAACAACTTTACACACAATTCATTTTTTAAATTCATTCTTATCTCTAAAAATTTTGACTAATTTCCAGGGAATGGAAGAAAAAAAAAAAAGGTTTACAAATCACATACAGGCTTTAAATTAACCACCTATGACTGATGAGAAACATTTATTTAAAGATGCATAAAAAAAATAAGGCAATTTCCTATAATGAACTCTTATACACTAAATCAATGTTGTCCAACCGAAATTGTTTACTGGGCCAAAATCAAAAATAAAAATACACTGTTGGTCACACATATTTATTTACAACAAAACATATACAATTATACAGTATTTTAATGTGAAACTTGCTTTTCAATTTTTTCACTTAATTTTTTAATGTCAAGAGAGAGATTTTTGATGTATAACTGACCAATAAAAATTTAAAAAACCAATCTATTACGACTTTTACACTTAACAATCTTCAATTTTGAGAAAAAAGATTCACAAAGATAGGCGATTCCCATTGCAACTGTAATGCTCATTGTGTTTTTTTGGATTAGGGAATGTATCATTACAGATGTATTTTGTATAAAACTGAACTTTGTTATTGACCTCAAATATACATTTTCAATTCAGAAGATGAATGGAGGCCTATCAAATTATCTGCAAATTTGTTGGAGATTGTTCCACAATATTGTCAAATGGACATAAGAAAATATTAAATATATTCTCATAAATTTTTAAATATGAAAAAAATCTCTCGAAATTCTCTTGGTAAATTAATAATTTCTTGTGCATATTTAGAAAAAAGTTTTTTGTCCCTATTAAATTTATGTAATTTGGACGATGAATTGTAGTTTTTGATTTTCACTGACTTTCATAAAGTTTGAGTTTTGCTATGAATGCTTCTATTTTTTGATAACAGCCTGTGATCAATTTGTTTTCACCTTGAAGCTGCTTAATTTCATTGTGATATTAGTAAGGAAACATAAATCCAAAAACCACTGTCCATCATATAATTTAGGAACATTCTGGTCCTTTTCATTTATAAAAATTCAAATTTCTTCTCTCGATTTCCAAAATTTTTAAAATCATTTTCCACACTTAATTGGCAGAGATAGCTAAACAGAATAACTTTATTTAAAATGGCTGCCAGGTCAAAGAAAACGAAAAACAGTAACTTACCAGGGCTGTGGAGTCGCGTAAAAATCTACCGACTCCAACTCCATTTTATATAAATAACAAGTTGGTAAGTAAAAAGGGAGTCGGAGTCGGCGGATTTTTTGACGACTCCGACTCCACAGCCCTGCTTAACAGTCATCCAATTTTGAAATGACCTACAGAACATAACTGTTACAAGAAATGCCCCTTGGTGGCTGACTAGATTATAATCAAATAACTTGCACAGTAAAACATAAACACGGAATGATTTAACGGGTTTAACTGTTGAAATTTTAAATCTATATGCATGTGTAAATGTGTAATTCTAATTGGAAATAAGCCTAATAAAATTTCAAAGAATTTAAAGAAAACAATAAAATTTCTTATCGTTTATTTAAAACACAGACACATTCTTAAGTTACAATGGTCTTCTATTGTTTGAAATTTATTACACATCTAGGGTAAATTTAAGGAAAAATAATTTCATTATACCAAAACATCATTTTAAAATATTTGTTGTTGTAAACATACTGATTAAATACATATACATACAGTATGTACTGTACCTACATATGCATTATATGTAATACATTTAATACTGTTTTAATTTTTGATTGTATATGATAAGGTGTTATAAATCATATTAATGTATTTAACTATATACGTATAGATTTTTATTACAATGAAATATCACAAGATAATTACTGTTTTAAAAGAGCCACACACAAACATCGAGTGGGCTGCATGTGGCATGTGGCCCTTGGGCTGGACATTGCTGCACTAAATCAAACAAAAGCTTGAAGAAAGCTGTGAAAGAATGCTTTTTAATATGCCTATTATAGATGTGTGGAAGAAGTTACATTTCAGTTTGTAATCACATCATTTTGTAAAAAAATGTTTCCTACATAAACACTGGTTGAAAAGTGTTTTGAGATTGGCATACATTCTATTTGGGTATTAAAAATCAAGAAATGTTCTACCAGGAAGATGTTAACTGTTACTGTTGTGAAACAAAATGCAAATAATTTTTTGTTTTTTTTTTTTAAAAAAGAATAAATGCCATTTCTGTGCATCTTATTGTGTTGCAATTTGAAAAAATGTAACCTATAAATTCCCACTGTCATTCATCCATCTTTCCTTAATCTTGAGAACAGAGTTACATAGATGAAAGACAAGACTAGATAGTTAATTGGGGTCTCCTGCCCCTAAGTTTTCATATTGGGTTGAGTCAAGTTTGGTTTACGGGTAGGTATAAAAACTGTCAAATACTTTCAAGATGATGTGTCCCTTCATCATATTTCAAGTATTTAATGAGTTTTATTAGTGATTATTAGCAAATAGTCTCTAAATGTAAATTTTAACACTAAACTGTCAATAATGTAGTAAAATAGTGTTTTTGAATTCATTTAAAATGAAACTTTTGAACATGTGCATACACCATATGTTGTGGGAGTTTAAACTCAGTAAGAATGCTACTGAAATGACAAAAAAAGATTTGTAATGTCTACAGCAGTGGAGTAATTTCAGACAGAGCAGTTCAAAAGTGGTTAACAAAATTCTGAACTGGTGATTTTCCTTAAATGATTCAGAAAGACCAGGCCACTTCTCAGACTTTGATACTTTACAGCCAATACTTTCAAGTTTCATGTGCATATGCTCAAAATACTCACCACTGACTTGTGTTGGTGTTGCTGTTCCATAAAAGGAAAATGGCAACACTATAAGAGAAAGTTCAGACTGCAGCATGGTTCTGCAAATTCATATCAATTGTGCTAGTGGAATGAGAATTTTGCTGTGTCTACAATAAGCCATCTCCCAATCCTAAGTTCATGTGTGAATGGAACAAAGTTTTCTGGCTACAGGATCCATGTGTAAGAGTCATGAAGGAGAACAATGCATTTTCAAGGGTCAAATGGAAGTATGTTTGTCTGAAGTCCAAGAAAGTCCATTTGCAAAACCTTTTTCAAACTTAGCAATACTGAGTTTGAGTGTTCGTATGATCTTGAATAAGTGATTGTGGCTATATGTACACAAAATGCAAGTCTTACAGCAAATTAATCCTGATAACAAACCTAAATGCAGTCTTTGCCATTAACATTCTAAACCATATTAATGAAAACTTAGTTTTTGGACCAGGCAATGTTCTCAAATAAGATGACCCTTTACCTGTCTGGAAAGGTCAACCACCATGGTAATGGTAATTTGGAGATTCAAAAATTTGCATTTAATACAGGAATACATCAGAGATGATCAAAGTTAAATGTTTGATGTGGTTAACGAAGACAGGGATAACTGAACTGTTCTTCAGTGAGGATATTGTTAATCAATACAATTACTTTGATATGTTGGAGAATTTCTTTTCCTTCAAATTGAAAACTTGCAACCAAACATCATCTTCTGACACAATGGAATCCCTCCACACTGGAGTTTAGAGGTACACTCAAGCCTTGGACACAATTTTTCCAGATTAGATTGAGGGGCCATCTTGGCTAATCTCCTGACATTACCCCTTTAAATGTTTTTCTTTGAGGCTAAGTGAAGGATCAGGTTTATGCCACATAAATGCCAAACATGCCAGGCCTTCATACCCATATTGTGGATGCCATTAACAGCATGACATCGAACATGTTAGATTGGACATGGACTGAAATCAAATACAGAATGGATATCCTATGTGCATGTCATGGGCAAACAAAGTGCTCTGATTTCATGCAAGTAAATTTTTGAAATGTGTTTTGTATTAAAGCTATTCAGACTTAGGCACTCATGCTTGGATTTTCAAAATTATTACTGAAGACTAGGAAGGGTCAAGCAGATCACCTAGTATAACTTAACACTATATGACTGAAAAGACACATTTTATGATATAGCCTTAATATTTATATTTTTTGTTTATTTGGTTCTGGATGAAAGAAATGCACACATTTTTTAACATAAAATTGACCTTTTTAATACTGTATATTTTATATATTGCAACACATAATATATATTTGGTCTATATTTTGCATAAGCAGAATAAAACCTTTTTTTAAGATCTCTTAAAAATTATCATTATATATATAATAATATATATACTTTAATCTAAGACTAGGATTAAGTAGGTCTTAGATCCACCCAATATGATGCCATGAAAAACTACTGCATACACATTCAATGCACTGCAGCATACTTTTTCTACTTTATTATGCTATTGGTATATCCCAAAATTCCTCATGAGCAAACAGATCATTCACTGTCTTACACTTTTCCTGGGACTAACATTTTAAGTCATTTTTAATTCAGAGATATTTGTTAAATTCTTCTAAAGAAAGATGTACTGGATAAAATGAATGAGTAACTGTAGAATTGTTTTATACATACTAGGCTATCTACTAATACCTCTAATGAATTTTTCCCCATGTTATACAAAATGGGGAAATTCCTTCTGTTCTTCCTTTGTTGGACCTCTGTATCTTCACCAATTGTGAAAAGCGACACTTTGCCACTGGTGTGCACTACTAACTGCCCTGAGAAATTTCCATTTCATGTTCCACTACTGCAGTAGTGGTCTTCCATTTTCAGATGTCCAATTGATTTTTGACTCTGTCCTGATTTCAAGCAAAAGTTCCAGTCACCTCATAATGCAAAATCACTTTCCAAAAATTCCAAATAGTCAAAAAGTGTACAAAGCTGTCCTATAAGTGTCAAAATTCCTTAAGTGCCGAGCTGGCATTACTGTTTCATTGATAGAAGAGTTTAACAAGTAATGTACAGTACACTTAGGCAAGTGAGCCCCATGACTGTTTACATGTCA